TTTTTTTTTGTAAGTTGGGTTCAGATTCTTTTCTTTTTGTAGGTTGTTTCAGTTTTGTTGCTTCAGAGTCTTCTTTTTTTGTAGGTCAGTTTTGGATTTATTTTGTTGTTTTGGTTTCTTTTTCATCAGATGCTTCATAATTTTTTTCATTTATGTAGGTCAGACATTCTGGAGTTCTCTTTCTTTTTTTGTAGGAATGCTGACCTTTGGTGACTTGGACGATTGCAGATACTATATGAAGGGGGGATTTTGTTTCCAATTAAGTTAGACGTTCTTATGTTTCTTTTTTTGTTTTTTTTAGGTTGTTTGACTCCAAATGAACCTGAACTTATAGATAATTTTGGTTGCAATAGGTGGTTTTAATGAGGAGGGAATTTTCATAATGTATTTGTGTTTTGTTTATTTTTTATTTTTTAATTTAATAAAGTAAAATTAGATTTATGTAAATATAATTATAGTAAATTGTAATACAAATAGTAAATTCAGTGACCAAATCGTATAAATTTCGTGATAAAATCAGTGATCAAATCATGTAAATTCCATATGAATTCCGTGCAAATTCCGTATCCAAACCATATATTTAGTGATACGGAATTGTGCATTTTTCCGTATCCTATTGTTATTTCTAAGGAAAAAAATCGTATAAAAACTTTATAAAAAACGTATCCAATTTTTTTATAGGGTGTTCGTTAATGTCTTGAGGTATTAATTTAATATTGCTAAAATGTTGGCAGTTAATAAAGCAAAAATTAAGGTTCGAATTTCGTTAATTCATGACCCGCAAGTAGTATGACTTACAAAAAGATCTTTCTTCTAAGGAACTCTGTGTTTTTTTCACGGCTGTTAGTTTTCTATTTTCAAAAATTATCGACTTTAGATTACGTTAAGATATTTAGTTGTAATTTGTCAATTACAAAACTAGTATATTATTGTCCGCTTCGTTCACTATGAAAAATTTGTGCCGAATCATGAAATTCATTCTGAATATTCATTAAACGATGTAATTATACTGTATTATTTCGCATTTTTAACGTATGATTTTAATAATCTACAAATTTTCATAGATCTAAGTAATAAATTATACAAAGTACCGTATATTAACAAAGATTGAACAAATTTAAGATTTTCATCCTCCTTATTCTTAAAAGAATTTTTTCATTTTAAATTTATTAAATTTAAAACTATTTCGTCGATTGATTATGATATATATATTACGTAGGTAAGCTTTGTCTTTCATACTATATTTAACCAAGCGTTGCTACCTTAATGCAGATTTACAAGTCACAACTATATTATCATAAGTTCCTCATTACAGTCATTAGTCTTATTTTTGAAGAAGTTGAACACTTTTTTACCAAATCCCAAAATTTTATCACATTCTACCAAGTTACTAAAATATTATATAGATGGTATTATTATAAGAAGAGTCATTATAATCGAAGAGTACTAAATATAACAAAACTCATTAATGATGAAGTCATTTATAAAAATTACGACGTACTCATTATGTTACGGGAGCGTTTTACGGTAATTACAATAGGAGTTATGACATAAGAATCGTAATAGAGTAATGGAAGTAATAATATTCTAAAATATCAAATCATGAAAAATGATTTATAATTGATGTTCGTTCCGGAGTTGGAGCCGGTTAAAAGTTAACCCGTTAATAATAACTAATCTAGTGGCTTCACAAATAAGGTATAGCTCTATAGCAGAATAGTAAAAAAACACATATATATAAGAGTTTTTAAATTTATTCTCAATTTTTTTTTAATAAATGACTTCATATTCCCTTAAAAGTTCTTTCATCAATATTAAATGTTATTAATTTTAATGTTATTATTCAAATTTAGTGATTTTAAGTGGTCGTTCACCTTACTTTAAAAGTGCCTTCTCTGCCAATTGAATTTCAAAGAAAGATAGCATGATTAATAAACTAAGTGTCATTTCAACAGTCCTTGTTCTTAAAGTAAGCAAATACTTTTTTATAATTAATTATTTGAATTTTAAATTTAAAATTTTAAATAACTCTTATATGATTTTATTATTTATTAAGTTATATTTATACTGGTCACTCGATTTGGCTAAACAAGGGCGAAGATATTCTTGGTTCATTGGTTTCACCTGACGAATTACTTATTGAAGAATTATTCAATCATGTTCAAGATCATTAATATGGTTCAAAATTTTGTTATTCTTCACACTGTGTTTTAACTCACTAGTTGCAAGAAATTACAAGATTATTGACTTGAATCTATCCGTGAAGATCCGGAACCATTTATCTCTTCAAAAAAATAAATATTTCCTTCGTCAGATAAGAGATATCCTTTTGGTTAAACGAGATGATTTACAGATTGGAAAAGCTGTCGCAAGGGATTATTTAATTTAAATGAAATATTGAACAAACACACCTTAGTTTGGGAAGAAAGAATCAAATGGAATAACGAAAATTATGAAGCATTAAAGAAATTTTTGAATCAATTTATTTCTCTTATTCATAAAGCTTGTCCTTATATAGGTATTACTTCTCATCGTATTTATGAAGAATTTGAAGAACTCTGTTAAAAAAATATCAAAACTCATAGCCTTACCACCTCGTTTACAATCAGGGCCATTAACATCAGCAATCATTAAACCAAAACTTGTAAAGTTATTTATAATTGGATTGATAGAAATGATTCAGTAACTCTTTCAAATAATAATAAATGTAAGTTTAATCTTGTTACTTCAATGATGAGTCGTGATGGACATAATAGCGAAACACTTCATAATATATGTAATGAACTTGTAGTATTAATAAGAGTTCAATCAAAGAAAATCTATGGTGGTTATAATCTATCTAATTGGATGTGTAGGAAAAAATCAATGGTTATTCTCAACAGAAAGTTTTGTTTTTTTCTTTTAAAAATGACCAAGATATACATAATGTGAGATTTTGTCAGGGTAACTAATTCATTCTGTTCTGTATATGATTATTCCAGTATCGGTGGTTTCTTTATATGTTATATATTAATGAGCAAGATCTTTATGCTGGGTATAATGTTTACAATTGTGAGAATATTTTTGGTAGAGGTGAAGAAGGCGAAACACCTATTATTGAAGAAACTGAAGTATTCATTACAATTAATAAGTGATTTTTTTTTAATGTTAAACAAATACGATATATTGTATTAAAACACAATGTCTAAAACTTAACATGTGTAACCATCATATATTTATAGATAAAAATTCTTTGAAATTTTTTCTTGTAATACTTACGTATGTTAATTATTCTTGGTTACCTTTAAAAATTTTCCGCTTACAATTTGAAATTTCGTTGGATTTCATAAGAAAACCATGTGAACATACTACATTTCATTTAAAATAGAAAGTGTGTAGCTCCAATTTTCTTATTTTCTTTTTTTTTTTTTTTTTTTTTTTAGAAATATCATCATTAGCGGAGAACAATAATAACAGATTAGTCTACTATTAAATGCAAATAACAGTAAATAAGGTTTTCAAAATTACAACTTAATGTATTATGACGAATAATTTATTAAACATTATTAAGTCATCCGTCAAATTCATATATCTATTTTGGTAAAATCGCCTATTAAAGGCTGTTCCTAATCAAAACTCACTAATTATCTAAAAATTAAAAACCATTTTTAGAAATATATTAATTAACCAACCAATAAAATGTGATCAAATGAAAGAATTTATAGCATTTAATAATAATTTTGTTAGTAATTGGTGCCGGTTATAAATTAAGCAATTAATTCTTGCCAGAGTTAAGTATTGTCGTGTTAACTCTGGCCAAATATTTAAATTCTGACCGCGATTCATATTACTGTAGAATCAAAATAATGTGTAGATCCCTTCTTTTTTGGGAAATTCCAGCGGCATTACGAAATACTGGCCTGAAGAGAACGCGTAGAGCCGTAGAGCTAATAGTGAATGAATGCTGATCTCTTGTTACCTATTTATATATTGATCGGTTCCTTGTGTAGCAAATTAATTCCTAAAAATAAACAAAAACCAGTTTTGAAGTATTACGTTACATACAGTATATAAAGACAATTTAGTTTTATCCGAAATATTTTCTTTCATATTTCTAAGTATTGATAAAAAAAAAATTCGCAATTTTTAAAAATGACTACAATATTTCATTCAGGTCTCTCGAAAGATTTATCACTTATATTAAATGATGCTGATGATTTTAACGTTATTATTCAAGTTGGAGAAAACCAGAATACAAAAGAATTTTATGCTCATTCAGTAATTTTACGTGCTCGTTCTCCTTATTTTAAATGTGCTTTCTCTTCCAATTGGATTTCAAAGAAAAATAACATGATTATATTTAATAAACCTAATGTCACTCCGACAGTTTTTGACATAATTTTAAAGTAAGTAAGACACTTTTAAATTAATTATTTTTAAAATTTTTATTTTTTTTTTTTAAAAAAAAAATCTTATATGGTTTTATTATTTTAAAAGATATATTTATACCGGTGAACTTGATTTGACTAAACAATCATGTGAAGACATTCTTGGTTTATTAGTTTCATCTGATGAATTACTTATCGATGAATTATTCAACCATGTTCAAGATTATTTAATCGAGAAACAAACTAGTTGGGTTCAAAAAAATTTTGTTCTTGTTCTCCATACTGTGTTTCAACTCCCTAGTTGCAAGAAATTACAAGATTATTGTCTTGAATCTATCTGTGAAGATCCAGAACCATTTATCTCTTCAAAAATGTTTCCTTCATTAGATAAGAATATCCTTTTTGGTTTACTTAAACGAGATGACTTGCAGGTTGAAGAAGAAATTGTTGCTTGGGATTGTTTAATTAAATGGGGTATTGAACAAACACCTGGTTTAGGAAATAAGAATAGTGATAGAACCAAATGGAATAATGAAAATTTTGAAGCATTAAAGAAAACTTTGAATCAATTTATTCCTCTTATTCGGTTCGTGGGAATTTCTTCCGGTAGTTTTTTTGATAAAGTTCAACCTTATAAAGCTATTATCCCCCATTATATTTATGAAGAACTGGAAGAATTCTATTGTAAAAAAGCTTTATCAAGAACCACAATCTTACTGCCTCGTAGGAGACAATCAAGATCATTAATGTCAGCAATCATAAAGTTTAGACTCGCAAATGCAATTTCTAAGTGGACTGATAAAAATGATTTAGTGACTCATTCAAATGATAATAAATGTAAGTTTAATCTTATTTATTCGATGAGTCGTGATGGATCGAATGGCAGAACATTTTATAATAAATGCAATGGACAAGGCCCATTTGTAGTATTAATAAGAGTTCAATCAAATAAAATCTATGGTGGTTATAATCCAATTGGGTGTACAGGAGGAAATAAGTGGTTATCTTCAACAGAAAGCTTTATCTTTTCTTTTGAAAATAATCAGAATATATATAATATGAAATTTGGCAGGGTAATTAATTCAGCCTATTCTGTATATGATAGTTCCAATTATTTTTTTAGTTTTGGAGATATTTTATATATTAATGGACGAAATCTTAATATTGGGTATAATAATGGCCATTATGAGAATATTTTTGGCGAAAAAAAAATACTTAATATTGAAGAAATTGAAGTGTTCAGCGTAGTTAAAGAATAATTTTTTTAAAAAATTTTAAAGACATTGTTTTTTGTTTTTGAAGATACAATGTCTCAAATTTAACGTAAGTATCCATCATACTGTATATTTATAAATAAACTCCTTTGAAAAAAAAGAACATGATTTACGCTTTTTTTTTATAAATTCATATTTCTTTAATTAGTATATTTTATTTTTAGTTTGATTGAGAAATTATAAATAGGTGACTTAAAAAAAAAATGAGCTAGGTTTTTTAATTTAAAGTTCAAGAATTTTTAAATAGTAAATTGTTTTTTTGTTTTTATATTTACAATTTTTTATGAATTGTACTGCATCATATATTTAATGGAGTATGAAGGTGTCGTATAAATAACAGTAATAAGTTTGTTTTCTTGCAATTCTTACATATTCTAATTAATCTTGATTACCTTTATTACTTTTATAAAACTCAAAATATAATTCATTCGTAATAAATCTCTTTTTTTTAAAAAAAAATTATAAACGATTTGAAATTTCTTTGGGTTATATAAGGAAATCGTTTGAACGCATTACGTTTCATTAAAAGATTAAAATTGCTATATTAAAAGTGCCAATTTCCTTATTTTTTAATTTTTTTTATTAAAAAAAAATATTATCATTAGCGAATAATAATTAACTAGCTTATTATTGAATGCAACTAAGGGTTCTTAATTATCGATAATACTTTATTATTATTGCACAGAAATGACAGAACCATTATTGGAACCATGAAAAATATTAATGAATCATTCATCATAATGTGATAAATTATTTTTCAACATCAAAGAAAATATTAACGTATTCACGTTTCTCATTCAATTTATATTTCTCAATCCTGTTAGTTTGATAAAATTACTTATTAAGACTATTGTTCTTAATCATGAAAAATGAAAGTTTTTTTGATAATAATTTTGGATAATTCGTGAATTGTGAATATGATCGGGTTTTGAGTTATGATTATTGGCTAACAGGATTGTGTAAGTAGGGCACAAAAGGGGTTCTGGGGTCAAATTCAAGAAAAGGTTCCCAGATATATTTCCAAAGCCTTCTAGCTATACGAAATCACTATAGAATTTTTAAACTCTTATCCAAATATAGGCTCTTCCCCGCTATCCAAATATTTGGTATCCAATTTGGTATTAAATTACCCCGCCAGATACCAAGAATAAAACAATCATTTATAGCCTTTCTAGCCTGATTTTAAACCCAAATAATATATCAAAAAAAATATGCCATACTGCTTGCCTTTGGGAGTGGCCTAGAATATGGAGGAACGAAGTAACTAAATATTCTAGGCTACGACCCTTACAAGTCTAATATGCATACCAATTTTTTATGATATTCTAGAATTAATTCTAAAGCTGATTCATTGATAAAATCAAAGGGTCACAAAATCTAACCTCTGGGTATCCAAAAATTTTTCGTATGACTTAGTGAAGCTAAGTCATACGAAAAATTGGATAACAGGAAAGTGTTCTAACTATTATTCTACTTTATTCTAGCATATAAGTAATTTCTCGATATGCAGGAAACCATTCTAGACCCATTTTATTAAGAAAAATATAAGGTCCAATAAGTCATACGAAAAAAATTACACCTATAAGTCTCACCTCTAAATCATACGAAAAATTGCTAACTATTCTAAGTACACCGAGCCTTATCCCGAAGTCTGTTCACATATTGGATCACATAGTATCCTTTAACATGCAATGGACACCGCCCAGAAGTTGAGCCAGTTGGCTTGCCACATTCACTGCAAGGGATTCGTGGCTTAGCCTTCCAATGTAAATGACAACCTTCAGGTCGCATGCAGGGGACACCATGGGCCTTGCCAGTATTAAGTAAGTATGGACAGAAATATTCTCCGATCATTTTCACTATATAGGGAAATAATTAATTAAAGAGAAAAATCTGTAAGGGTAATATATTGTCCTGAATATATACCATCACCTAGGGAATTAATTAATTAAATAAAAAATTTGTAAAGGTATTATATACAAATCAGTATGGCAAGAAGTGACAAAAAAAATCGAACTTGTGAACGATGTGGAAAAGAGTGTGCAAATCCTAATAAACTTCGTGAGCACTTAAATAGAAAGTTTAAATGCAAGCCAATACCTATTCAAACCCTCACCCCACAGATCAAAAACCAAGGGGGTGCTCCAGTAGTCCATGCTCGAGGAAAGGATCGAAGAAGAGAGAAACCTGAGCCTATTCAAGCACCCATTCCACAAGACAAAAATCAAGAGAATGATCCTGAAGCTGACCCCGGCCCATCAACCCAAGCATATGCTTTAGCACCTCCGGCTAGAGAAGGACAGGTGGAATCCAGCGAGGTCTCTTCAAGAGGTAAGTATATTGATAGGCATGCAAGAAAGCCTAGAGAGCATTTAAAAACATGGGGTGCTAGATTGCGTCAAAGATGGGTTGATGTTACTGGTGAAGAATGTGTTATGCCACTAAACTTAAAAGAATGTCAGCGTCTACATCATGCTCTATTACAAGCTGATGATGTGGCTTTCGAGGAAATTATTCCTAAAGAGGGAGAACATAGTGAGGATGAGCAACAAGACGCTCAAGAGCAAGACACAATCGCAAAGAAGTCTGATCACAATATAGATACTTTTGTCAAAGATGTAGCAGACTATAGTTTTCTAAAAGAGTTAGGCATGATAGAAGAAACAGAAACGGAAGAACTTGCGGGATACTTTGAAGGTATGAAGAAAATAGCTAGTATAGAAGATCACGCACCAGAAGGAGACATTCATTTTGAAGAAGGTCCGGTTGGAAGAGATCTAGAAAGACCACATCAAAACCGGTCTTTAATGAGCAAATGGGAAGCTAAAGTACCTAGAAGGTCAAACCCTGCATATGCTTTCAATGATATGGTAGAAGGAGCAAAGAAATATAAGGAAATTCCATATATGCCTAAGTTAATAGCTTCGGCTAGACAAGAAATGACAAGAGTGTTTCAAACAGAGTTTAAAAGGAAAGAACAAATCAAGTCAGCAATAGCTGTAAAATGTATATATTATAGGAAAGAAAAAAAGGATAGAACTGATAATAAGGCACCCAGAATCATCAGAATAGCAGAAAAATGGCATAGAGGAGAAATGCGAGCTCTTCTCTCAGAAAACTACATAGATGAACATTTAACTAGCTCTAGTGGGGAAATAGATAATAAAATAGAAGAATACTTAGAAAATGGGTCTAACTGGATTTTAGTACGAATTGATATGGTTTATATTGAGGCATATAATTTAAAACGAGCCACTGGAGGATCTTTCATATCTACTCCAAAAAAGTTAGCCAATACCAAGTGTACCATTAATCCAGATAATCAACTTTGCTGAAACCTATCGATTTTGAAAAATATGGTAGAAACATTTTTAAAATATGATCACCATATTGCATACGTATTTCTGTTAACTCTGTTGTAACTCGATAACAGCAATATGTTAAGCATATGTCAAAAATACGAAATAAAAATATGTCTAGAATATGTTAAACATCAATCAAAAATATGATGAAAATATGTAATAGGAATGTTTTTATTATATATCAAAAATATGTTGGAAATATGTAATAGGGATGTTTTCATTATATATCAAAAATATGTTGGAAATATTATAAATCAATTTATTAAAATAATCAAAAATTTAATTACATGTATACAATATCATATGGCACAAATGTTTCTCTCATCTATCAAAAAATTTAAAATACTATATAATTCTTAATAATATTATTATCCATACCAATACCGCATTATAATAAAATATAACATCGATTTCCTTCATTATGCTCAGTATTATGTATTCCTACAATTGTGATAAAGAATAAACGTGGAATGTGATCAACCAAGGTAATTGGAAAATTTTGAAACCACCGTAGTGATTCTTTAGCCTTCTATAAAATAAATATAAATAAAATGTTAATATTATTTCATTAATAAAAAAATAGCTAAATAAATTAAGTTTTTAAAATCAAAACTTACCATCCAATCCACTCAAGAACCAGAATCCATTTCCTATAAAAAAGAGGAAAAGTTAAATATTATTTAAAAAAATTTAATTTTGAAATAATTTAATTTCAAAATTTTGAACTCACCATCCGATCAATTGGAAATCCATCCTAAAAAAAAAAAAAAAGAAAAAAACAGTAATCACAATTTTTTATCATTTTCGAATTTATTTTCCCAAAAGTTTACCTTCATCTACTAATTTCGCACAATCCGAACAATATAAAGACCAGTTATCATACTGGGAACTCTGATAATTGAGTCAAAGGAAAACATAAAATAAAAGAAGACGCTACTGTAATTAAACATCTTTCACAAGAGTTCTAAAGATAGGAGTCCTACTAAAGAAATAATTTTCAAAAATATTTTTGATACTCACTTGGGAATCTGGTGTCTACATCCGTCAGAGCTGATTTCCCTACAAAAAAAGAAAAAATGTAAAAAAAAATTTTTTTCTTTAAAATTTTGAATTCCTATTTTCGAAACTTACAATCTTTGAGATTTCAGTTTTCCAAGTCGGAACTGATTGAAAAAAAAAATGATAAAAAGTTTTTTTAAAAGTTTTGAGTTCAACTCGCCATTATCTAGAATTCCAGCTTTCAAGTCAGAGCTAATTTCCTACAAAAATCAAACAAAAATAAGTTTTAAAAAAACTTTTCTTTAAAGTTTCAAATTTCTGTTTTTGAAACTTACCTATTCTACGCGTCCAAACTTGTCTAAAAATATGAAAAAACAAGGCCAATTTCTTACTGAAATCCTAGTATCCAAGCCGTTTAAAAAAAAAAGCATTTTAAAAGACGAAATAGAGAAATTTTTTTAAAAAAACCAAAATCCATATCCAAAGAACTAAAAAGTCGCTTAAAAGAGAAAAGAAACAGAACATTAATAATTATTTCATTAAAGAGATAGGCCAGAAACATTCCTCTTACCAAAATCCTTGTCCAAAAATATTCAAAGAATACTGAAATTTACATCTGTCTAAAAAAAAAGAAAAAAGTGAGAAAAAGGGAAGTACATGAAAGAGAGATAGGGAAAAAATGAAAAGAGGGAAAGGGAAATTATAAAAGAGAGGGAAAGGGGGAAAATGAGAGAGGAAAGTTTACCAAAAAAAAGTTTATGCCGAAAAAAGTTTAACTTTTTTTTAAACTTTAACTTTAGACTTTTTTTAAAGTTATACTTTTTTTTAAAAAAAAGTGATATTGTTATATTGCTAATATTAAATCACATGACGCGAATTTATTACAATAAGTTTGTATAACCGAAAATTTGAACTTTTTTTTCCCACTTAAAATACTTATTTATATAAACTTTTTTCCTTTTTTTTCACACTTTTTTTTCCGACTTTCTATAACCTAAAAATTTTTTCTTTCCTATAGAAATATTATTATTTTAGTAAAAGCTTTTTTTTCAATGGAAGAACCATTTATAAAGGAACCAGAAAGTATTATATAGTACATGAAAATTTTGGTTTTCTTTTTACTTTTATTTTTTTGATAAAGTATTACGTTTTACTACTAAAAAAAAAAATATATAATAAATCTTTTATCAGAAAATGGCCCATATTTTATATTGTGAGTCAAAATAAAGTCATTCAAAGGATTTGTGGCTGATATTGTTATATTATCATGTTTGGCTATGGGTAGCTTTTCTCTTTAGATGGATCTAGATGCGTAAAATTTGGTTGGTATATTGATCGTATCGGCTGTAATTTTCCCGGGATCATCTGTACAAGTCACTGTTATGCAAATCAATTGATATCATGTGATTATAAACAAAAAAAGAAAGTATTTTTTTTTTATTTAATTTGATTGTTTACTAATTGCTCATTTATCTATTTTATTTTTTTAGGATACATTTTATTAGCGGTGCAAACATTCTGGATTTATTAGTATAAAGTATAAACAGACTTGTTAGAGGTCATAAGCTATCCCACCAGCTGGCAAAGTGTATGAAATTTCTTTTAATTCACAAAGAAAGCCTTGCTAAAGTCATCTTTAGTGTAGGTCTAGTAATACATTGCCTTAATTGAGCGTGGCTACGAAGTTTATGATTTTTAAATATATATTATATATCAATATTGATATCTTATGTTTGATTACACAATTTATTTACTATTTAAATTTAATACATTTTTGCTATATATCAATAAATTAACAATAATGAGTGTCCTTATTATATTATTATAATGCATTTTAATAAATTAGTGTTATGATAAATGGCAAAGCTAATCAAGATTTATTTTTTAGCATTAGGTAAATTGAACACAATTTGTATTTTCGTTAAAAGGATAAAATTATAAATTTTTATTTTTATTTTTTTTTAAAAAAAATCATATTATTTAAAATTAAAAAAATTAAGGTTTCATATTGCCTTCATATAGCCAATATAAAGTAGTGATTTGGTAACTAAGACGAAAAAAATGCACTAGCGATCAACCTTATAGTCACATGACAGTCACATGCTAGAAGCAGTTATTCATATAACAACAACATATTCAAAATATATTATTCATATATCAACAACATATTCAAAATATATTGTTTGTATATCAACAACAGTATTCAAAATATGTTATTCATATATCAACAGCATACTTGAAATATATTAACAACATATTCAAAATATTCATTATATCATTTGTTTAAGTACATGTTTTAACATACTTTGAAAATATTGTAAAATTATTTTATTCATATTACAAAAATATTTACTACACTATATTAGTTTAAGTTTAAATTTCAACATATATTAAAAATATTATAACATTATTTTATTAATATTACAAACATATTGCGTATATTAAAATATATAGAACATATATATACCATCTGTTAGTAATATGTAGTGATTATGTCTGACATATTTTGTGAAAACCAGAGGTTTCTGCAAAGAAGGTCTTGTTGATCCAGAAACAAATGCATTATCTGAAAAATGTCTCCAAGGTGCACTTGGATGCTATTTCGCTGATCAGGATGGAATTACAGACCATCTTGGTAGACGCATATTTAGGGCAAAAAGCCTTAAAAAATACTTAGATGTTGTTAAGCTCGATGGAATTCCCATGCCTACCCCAATCTGTCCACACATATTCGGTAAGATTGAGGAGATGAATCCAGATATCTCCATCAATGTCTGGGGATGGAATGAAGAAACAGCTACTCCAAAAGCAGAAATTGCTAGTAAGAATTTCAAAAGACCACATGAAATCGATCTCTTAGCCCTTACAAATATTGTCAAATCAGAGGATACAAACAAGTATGGGCAAAAGAATCACTTCCTATGGATCAAAAATATTGATGGATTAATATATAGAGATACTGCACATAAAGAAAAGAGGCATCTTTGCAGACGTTGTACAATTAGTTTTCCATCCAAAAAATCTCGAGATAGTCATCAAGAATATTGCTTAGGATTAGGCGAAGCTTGTCAAAGTGTTAAACTGCCAGTGAAAGGGGTCAATGATTTCGAACAGTTCAAGAACTATAGTCGGATGATCAATTCTCCATGTGTGATTATAGCTGACTTCGAGGCTGCCAATGTTAGATGGGATTGTTCAGGAGGGATAATGAAACCATTCAAATCTTATGGTGGACAAATGCGCAAGATCTCTGAGCAGAAGGCTAATAGTTTCTGCTATCTAGTCCACTGGATCGATACTGGAGATGTGTGGGGACCTTTCCTATATCGAGGTGAAAATGCCACCCAAGAATTCGTCCGAAGGATTGATCAGGAGCTAGTTAGCATCAATGAAGTCTTAGCTATCAAAGTAGATCGAATTGAGACTGAAGAAGACAAGAAGAAATTCGCTGAGGCTGATACCTGTTGGATCTGTAAAGGTAAGTTCGCTATAGATACAGATGAAATAGAATGCTTAGAAAGCAAAATAATTAGTCTTAATGAGAAGCTAGAAAAATTCGATAAAAAGTCATTTAAGACTTATCTTAATGCAGAATATAATGGTATTCAAACAACCATTGAAAAAGCGACCAAGACAATTACCAGCATAAAAGCTAAGGCTGATAAGGTTTGGGACCACTGCCACATTACAGGTAAGTTTCGAGGGTCTGCCCATAGAGATTGTAATCTCAAACTCCAGATCGAGCCATGGAAGACCCCAATTCCAGTAGTCTTTCATAACTTCAGGGGCTATGACTCTCACTTAGTATGTGAATCTGTTGGACGCTCAGTTAATGCACATCAGATTAAGGTTATAGCTGAAACCTTTGAGCAATATAAGTCTATGAAAGTAGGTCAGCTCAAATATATCGATAGCATGCAGTTCATGAACAATAGCTTGGCCAATCTTACAAAAAACTTAGGCGATGACCATCC